GTAAATTGCCTAGAATTATGCCTAGTACATACAGAATACTAAGTTAAAAAAAGATTTTATCTCCTTTACTCAGCTATGTTTAAAACCCTTTGAAGACTTCCCATATCCTATGGCTTCTATATTCTAAGATTTTCTTTGTATGGTTCTACCTTCCAAGCTTTTTTCATTTTCCCTAACATGCCCCATGCTTTAGTCAAAAGTTTGTCCTCATTTTCACACAAAGAATATATGTTTACTCTTCATTCACTTCTTTGGGAAAATTCTTTCTTTCTTCTGAAAAGCCTTGCCTTCTCTCCTCTCTTTAAATCAGTATATGCCAAATTTCAGATAGTCAAATGGCCCTCCATATTTTTTACTGTCTGCTTATTTTCTATACATGTATTTGTGTGTGTTTGTTAAATAACACATTTTAAAGTTTAGCTACCTACTGTAGCCTAATCATATGTAATATTTTTTATAAAATAAAAATTTTTGAAGTGCTAATTATACTATATTTTAAAGCCTTAAAACAAGACTATAACTTGAAAAAAATTGACATTATTCTTTGTACTACCAAAAATAACATTGCATGTTTCCAGTGGGACATGTTCTGCTCATTGGGAACCCTGCTTAAACTAAACTTGTCTATTGAGCAAGGACCACCCAACCTTCTCCAAAATGCCCCACTCCCAATGAACTCACCTTCTTAACTTTCACACAACTTAATAATAAATCATATACTATGCTTGTTTTCTAATTATTTTATGAGTGATCTACTGGTCACTTAAAGTGGACTCTGGAAGGATAGGGAACATATTTTATGTTTCTGATTCCACCCTTCCCACTCAGCATCCAAAAAAATTGCTCATTGTTGTAGCTCCTTAAGTATGTTGAATGATTAATTCCAAACAAAGTGCAGGAATACTCTGTGGATATAAAATGAGATTTGGAAAACTCCTGAAGACAGTTTATCTAAAGCAATTAATATTCACCACTTCTAATGCAAAAGGAATTGAGGTCACGGTTCATTCTTTCTTTTCTTCCCACTTTTTTCCTACTATTGTTCCAGAAAAAATTGAAGGTGATGGTTTGTAAGGATTTATACTATAATGAGGTAATACAAATAAGTAGTAAAGTGGAAAATAATAAATAAAAAGTGGTCAAGAACATAAAAATAGAACCATGAAATAGAATAATAAAAAAGCACATCATGTTCTCATGATCCATATATGTCCCAAATGACAGTATGTCATCTTTACTTATGTTTGAGTAGTACTCCATTGTATATATGTACCACATATTATGCAAAATAAGTCAGGCAGAAAAAGTTAAGAACCATTTAATTTCACTTGTATGAGTGACATAAAGCTAAAAGCAACAAATGAAAAACAAGACAAAGAAATAAGAACTCATAGACACACACAACAGTATGGTGATTATAAGAGGAAAGAGGGAGTGTAGGGTGGGGGGATGTAGAAGATGGTAGAGGGGTGATAAATGGTGTTGGGAGAAGACTTGATTTTGTGTGGTGAACATGCAATGCCATATACAGATGGTATATTATAGATTGTACACTTGAAACCTGTATAATTTATTAACTAATGCTCACCTCAATAATTTTAATTTAAAAAAATTTAAAAGTACACCATAGACAGATCTCCAAACTTCGTACCAATATAATAAGTTAGTTCCAGATTTTTCAGCAGACCATGTAAAAAAACATGTGATATAATTATCAGTGTGCATAAAAACCAAATTAAGCAAGTAACTTAGGAAAAATCTAGTTCTTTTTAATAGTAAAATCAGGTGGTACTTGAGTCCTCCAAAAAAAGCAGTATATTTTATTTATTTTCTTAAAGTGGTGTATTTTAATGAGTAATGTCCTCAATAGTAGCTATCATGCCTTATCTACTGCTACTATTAGACAAAATTTAAAATCCTTTAAAGCACCAGTTTATAAACTTGCCCCAGCCTGCGTAATATATGATGCACCAATTAAAGTAATCCTTGAGGGAATACAGAGAGAAGTAAAGAGTTCAGAACTATGGTCAAAATGGAATAACTGTACTATTTTTTAGGTGTATGACTGAATATTTATTACTTGCTTTGAGGTGATAATGATTCCTAGATTATCAGTCATACTCCTTAGTAGACTCTCTTCTGAAAGTCAATTGAAGATAATTATTAAATTACCAGCTTTTTTTTGTTTGTCCACAGTTTTGCTAGTTTTAATTAACATTCAAAACTTAACCTGATTTGAAACTTCCTTTACCCAAATTGGTTCACTGACCTCTGAGCTACTTTTGCTTCCCTTTTTTTGGCCAATGAAAAGAGAAGACGATTGCGTGCAAGAGAGAAATGAGGTAAGCAAGCAGGCTTTCTTCTTAGCAATATTAAAGTGTCTGTGAAATGAAGGTAGGAGGTAATGACAATAGCTGATTCTCAGGACAGCATTCCTTTTCTCTTTCTCTCCCAGGGTTTGGCTTTAAAGCTCAACAGGTCTGGAATTTTCTTTGTCCAGAGTAGGATCATACCCTAGGAAAACTGGCTCATGCTACTCAAACTCACAAGGGATGGATTTGTACCAAAAAGCCGATTTAATAATTTATAGTAAGTAACAGAACTGCCAAATGGACTAAAATGTGTGTTGGCCTGTCAGTATATTCTCCCTTAAGTAGGGATGCCAAGACAAAATATTAAATTAACAACAGACTGGAACAGATAAATATATGAAATCAGAACTAAGAAGGGGATTGTAAGGTCAAGCATGTTTTATTTGTATACCCTGTCTCTTTACCAGTCCTCACAAGGCCATGGCCTTTTCATCAATCAGTTCAGTCTTTTAGTCTCTAGGGCTGACAGAGTTTCTTTTCCCTCTCTTAATGCCCTTGAAACTTGTAGTAGACACTTCTGAGTACTGGGTATGGCTCCATCTAGTTCTTGAATGGTGCTGGGTTTTTTAAAAGATTTTATTTATTTATTTTTAGAGAGAGGGAAAGTGTGGAAGAAAGAGAGGGAGGGAAACATTGATGTGTGAAAGAAATAGCAATCAGTTGCCTCTCAAACGCCCCAACTGGGGACCTGGCCAGTAACCCAGGCATGTGCCCTGACTGTGAATCAAACCAGCAGTCTTTCAGCTTGCAGGACGTCACCCAACCCACTGAGCCACACCAGTTAGGGCAGGGTGTGGTTTTATAAGGAGGGCTTGTTGCAGGCCCAGGTTTCCCTATTACAAAAAACATTGTCCTCCATTTCCTTCTTTATTCAGTCTTATCAATAAATCCAAACGCTCCTGTTTGACCTAACTCAAAATATGCAAAGTACTTTTTTCCCTGTCTTTTGCTATGGCAATTACCCAGGAGGCTCTTTGCAGTCCCAGGCTGTGGTTTCTGTGTGTGGTTCCCTTACATGCCCCCAGACGTTCATGCTGCTTTTCAAGCCTTGTTTCTCAGAACTATACTCAGACTTGGCTGACACTATAGTCCCTAAGAGTATGATCTTCCTTTATTTGCGTAGTTATAAAATCCCCTTAGGCATTATACATAAAGACAAATGTCTTGGTAATCTGTAGGGAGACTATCCAATCAACATTGTTCATTTATTTATTCATGCATTATTTAAACATTTACTTTTTTCTTTCATCCCTTCACTTATTCAACAAACATTGATGAAAGTGCCTTGTGCTACACTCGTTGGGAAACAGAGGTAAGTCAGACATGATATTTGCCCTCGAGAAGTTTTCAGTATACTAAGGGGGTAAGAAATATATAAAAATAACTAAAATGCACATTAAATTATAAACGTTGAGGTAAGCTGAGAGAAATGTACTCCAGTTGGAGGGAACAGATTAAACAAATGTAGTCCTACTGTTTATCAGGTAGGGGCCTGGCCATGAGCGGGTGTGCCCAGGGCCAGCTGTAGTATGTGGGTTCTTGACTTTGTGTAGGAAATATTTCACAATACCAGTCCAGATGACGATGAGGGTATGTTTCTTAAAGCTGGGGACAGTGAAACAAGGAAGGGCTTACATAGAAGAAGGAACAGAAGTCCTAAGCTGGGCTGCCTTCACTCACTGGAAAGTGAGAGAAAAGGGGGCCCTGGGGACAGGTTCAGGGGATTAGCCTGGGACTAACTGCCACTGCCCATTACCTTGGCATTTAGGAGGAAACACTTGCCTGTGAGGAAAGAAGTGGGGGATGAAGAAGGGAACAGTGCAGACTGTTCCCCAGATGGAGAGTGTGTGGGTACAAGATGTGTCCTTTTTCTTGAGGTTTTTATCCCTTTCTTGCAGGCAGGAATCTTAGGGGAGGGTTTCAGTAGAATATTCTTTAGTTCTCCAGGTGTGCCCTTCCAGGGTCATGGTCTGCTCTGATTGGTGAGTGAGAGGGCTGTGTGGGGAGGTTCTTTAGTCATTGTAGCTGGTCCTGGTATGGCCCACCTAATTTTGCTGCTTTTCTGGGCCTGAAGCTGAAACACAAATGACACTTAAATGTTATTTGAAGGGGGGTGACCTTCTGTACCTGGCTGTAAATTGCTTGGCCAGTCTCAGTTTCCCTATTCTACTTGCCAAGAAATTTTCCTAGCTTCTTACTATAGTGTCTCACCACTGCTATTTGTTTTGACTTGTATTCTTGAGATTTCTTTACTCTCTGCCCCTCCCACTTGAAGGAATTGCAGCTTTCTTGTTTTTAGGTAAACTCCCTTCAGATTTTGCCTCAAAATTGCATCTTTCCATGGAGTCTACTGGAATCTAGTGAGAAAGAGAAGCATGTGGGTTGTGGTGGAAGGAGATAATGTAAGGAACAGTGAGAAAGGCTGATACAAAGATATTGTTTGATTTTACACAGGCTTTTGCTCCATTCTCTTTGAATTTCTTTGCACCAATCAAATAAAAATGAACCAAACCTTTAGTAGCGTCATCTGCTCAAGGGACTTACCTTCTTGTCTGTGCAAATAAGGTTTCTGTGGTAAGGCACAAAATTCAGTCAACTTCCGCTTTTAACAACAAATTTGTCAGTTATCAGCAGGATCCGTGTGACCCAGAGTTATATTTTTTCACCCCCAGCTCTCTGCAAAGAAACAAGAGTGCTAAACCCAGCAAGTCTCCAGGGTAAGTTACAGTGTAGTATCTGGGAATTGGTGGTTTTGTGAAGACTGGTGGGGGCATGATGATCCAGGACAGCAGCAAATGAGGGACCATTGTCCAAATTAGCATTGGTCTCTGGTTTCTCATTTTAGACTTCTTACAGCAAAAGTGATGATGATTTCCCTTGAGAGTACAAAGTTTGAGTTAATGCCATCAGTTCCCACCATAACACAGGAGCATGGAGCCTGTGATGCTTCTCAGTCTTTGCTGAGGGCTCTTTCTTTATCAGCCTAGGAGTATGGCACAAGTGGTAAGAAAGAGTGTGTTCAGTGGGACTATTATGAGAACTTGACATATTCAGCAAGAAAAAGAGGATTGAAGTCTGTGCTCTATTTTATTTATCTAGTTGCATAATGAAAGAAAGTTTTTATGTATAAGCCCCTTGCTTTGGTAAGTTTAGCTTTCATAGATACAACAACATATAGTAAGTTCTATCAAAAGAGAAGGAAAGAACTGGAGATCATAGATTTGGACGCTGAAAAAGCTCTTAGAGATCCAGATCCCTCACAATACAGATGGGAAAACTGAGAGACAGTCAAGGCACTTAGGATAACTTAGCTAGTTAGTGACAGAGCTGGAACTAGAACCTGTGTCTTCTAAATCATGCTTCCTTCCCCTATAGCAGCCTGTATCTCCAAAAGAATACTATAAATGTATTTGTAACTATATTGGATTTTGGGTCAGGAAAGAAGAAAATATTTCTGTTGATAAGCTCTGGAAAAATGATTTCAGAATACGTTCAGAGGCAGTTCTTAATCTTTTGAAAGGTGATTTTTGACTCAAGTTCAGCTCTACTGGATAACAGAACCCAAAAGAGAAGCACCTCTAAGTAATTATTTTCATTGCTCTGACTGCTAGCAGCCTCTCTGGTTCTGACCTAAGATGACTGAGTCAAAAAGAAATTGCCAGCTTCAATGTTCTTAAAGGTGGATTTTGCCATAACAGTTGGTACCAGGATCACTCTAAATAAAATGGTAACAAGCTTTATTGTGCTTTTTGGGGGTAGGGAAAGAGTAGTTTCAGTATCAAGGATCCTGAAAGTGGGGATTTTTTTATTTTGGTTGTTCAAATGGATGGGGGGTAATGACCATTTCTATTATTTTAGTTTATATCTTAGTAATTGTGATCCAGTAAAATTATCTAGTCCCATTAGCTAAAGGGACTAATTATCTAGTACTTTTAGCATATCACCTCTCACTGCAAAAAAGAGGTGATATGCTGCTATACTGAGGCAGGAAATGGCCTAAAGTATACAAATAATCAGGTTATGCATTGAAGGAAATTGTCTTTGCAGTGTATCCTGTTGGATACAACTCTCTTTGGTTAAAAATAGTTCCTTTTTGGGTTCATTTAGGAAAGTTGTTGAGTTCAAGTTGTACAGTCTCAAATTCTGGCATTGGTTTAGCATAAGATGTCAAAACAGTTGGCATTCTTCTGGGGGGCTCTTCATAACCATTTTTGTCTAAGCTAAGTTAATTGTTGCCATAAGAGGCAGTGGAGTCTATATAGCCCTATGTCACAGCTAGCAAAGAGAACACATGTCTCTAGCAAAGAGAACACATGTATCTGTTGTGAAACCACCCTTTTTAAAAGTTTTAATAATCAGGGAAATGACTAGCACGTAGTTTATGCTTTATTAAAAATATGGTAAAAATCTACTTACACTTATCAAGGATTTTGCAGGACATTTTCATCTAGTTTGGTTCATATGCATGTATTATAACTAGAGTGATGTAGTAGATGGATCAATATACAAGGAGTCAACAAGTCTTGGTTCTAACTCAAGTTCTGCCAGTGACTCGCTGTGTGGCCTTGAGAAGATTGCTTTGTTTTTCTGAATCCCAATATTCTAACCTATAATTATTAAGGAGGAAAGCTTGGAATTTAATTTCCTTCCTGGTAATACAATGATTTGATTCTGGGTCCCAGGGCACCTGAATAGGGCTATCATGAAGTGGTAAATAATGGGGCCATGGCATGGAAATCTAACTAGGGGGAACCTTCAGGCAATATAGTCTATATCTCAAGGTGAACCCAGTAACTTTTGCCAAGGGCCATTATACTTTTTCAGAATCATGTTACCATGAGAGCTTAAACTTTTAGACCTTAGGTAAGTGTTTTGCAAGTAAATTCCTTTTTCTAAAAGTGGCAAAAAACACAACAAATGAAGGAAATCTGAAATCTTATTTCCACAATGACAATGTATCTCAATCAGTATTTTTCAGTCTTTTAAAATCAAAGTTCCCTTTGAAAACAAAGAAAGATCTCACTACAAAAACTCCTAGAAAAACCTACTCCATCACATTAAAGTTTTCCAAGTACTGCATACATAACAGCCAAAAATATTTTGTAAATGTGTACTTTTTTCAGTTTGCGTTACAGTAAAATGATTTTGATTTCCAGATATATTTAGTATAATAAGAGTCGGTGGGTAGGCCCAGAGAGAGCAATGGGGCAAAAATTGGGACAACTGTAATTGAACAACAATAAAAAGAGGGAAAAAATCTTTTCTTTTTCAGGTAACACATGTTTCCTATTATTAAACACTAAGAATTATGGCTTTAGTTCTGCAGGCTATTTCTCACAACTCTACTTTTTGGGGAATTTTTAAAACCCAGGAAAGTACAGAATTCAGCCAAAGGCCCATGGAGATTATTCTCTGTACAAGTAAAGGTCTACAGCATACCAGACATGAAACTAGGTACTTTCTGCACATTTCCCTTTTAATCTTTACAGCAATTTATGTTGCAGACAGTATTATCCTAATTTTATAAATGAGGAAACTGAAGCCCAGAGATAGGAAGTGAGTTGTTTCAGGCTAGAGAGCTGATAACTGAATCAAGATACTGACTCAGGTCTTCCCAAAGAACATAATTTTTTCTTCCCTGAAAATACTGCCACAATTGCAGAAAGGACATCTAATTATGCCTTTAAAAATAATTTAGAAAATCTAATAAAGATTCATTTAGGCAAGATCAATTCAAACTTTGAGATATTACCTTGTCAATAGTCTGTCTTAATTTATTCCTAGGATAAAAATAATTTTCACTTCCTCTAATTCACAGAAAAATATGTAGACTTTCATAATATATCCAAATGTTCATAAAATAATTAGAGTTCATTTTAATTAATTCAGGAAACATCAGAGTTTCACATTTCAGTTGCTCTTCTTTGGCTATGGTTGTGAGCAATTGAATGAAGGATACCATGTTCGTGAGGATCAGACTGGCTTGGGCAATTCATGTGAGATTTTTTTTTGGTTCAGAGAAGAAGAAAAAGATAAAAAATGAAGGTAAAGCAATTTAGGTTCTGAAAGGGCCTGTAAATGTTGTCCTCTAGGGATTGGATAGGTCCCTCATCATCAACTTTTCCCTGTTTAATTTTCCCTTCTTGCAAAAAGACAAGCTCACGTACTGGCAGTATCATCAAATAAAATAAGAGAATTGAAATTGATAAACATGTTCATTTAATGATATTAGTGACTTGAGAAAGGATGAAGAAAGGGCAAAATGAGAGGGTAACAATTTGTGAAGTTTTACTAGAAAAAGAACAGTCACCTTGATGCCAGAAGCCTAGGTTCCATCCTCCTTACTGTCACTTGCTAACCTTATGTCTTCAGGTAAATTCAGTTCTTTGCAACACAGTTTTCTGATTTGCAAAATGGGTATGATATTGTTTGACTTAGTTGCTTATAATATATACTTTTAATAATAATTATCAGCAATTATAGATGTAATAATAACTTTGTAAAGTATACATCGTCAAGTTGATTGATATAGTGGTGGCTGCATTAATGATGGCATTGTGCTGGTAGTATCAGTGTCAGGGGTAGAGAGAAGCCATGTCTTCAAAGTCATGACAAATTAGAACTTGGTGCGCTTTAAAGACCATCCAGTTCAAAAATAAATGAACAAGCAAAATTGAAACAGACTCATTTACATGAGAGTGCACTGGTGGTTGCCAAAGGTAGGGGTGTTGGGGGACTGAGTGAAAGAGGTGAAGGGATTGGGAAGTACAAATTGGCAGTTACAGAATATTCATGAGGATGTAAAGTACAGCAGTAATACTGTAACCACTATTTACAGTGCCAGGTGAGTACTTGAAATACTGGAAGTTACAGGCTTTGAATCTCTTAGGTGTCCATATTTATTAGACTTCAATCTTATTATCCTTGCCTTGCCCCTATTTTCCTCAGTTAACAGAGGGAGAAAGGCTATGGTTTTTGCTCTGGATAGTAACTCATGAGAGAAACACTGGAAGTAACACTGCTGAAGGCTTCAATATTGTGTCTATTCTCCATGCTCTTATCTATACAAATCAGTGCATATGAACGAGCCCATAATTCTATCTAACTCCACTAAGCAAAATGAAGAATATAAAAGTCTAAGACACAGAGACTTCCCTCAGAGACATTCTTATTGTGCAGCCTGTCCGTTCACTAAGAGTACAAGGAAGAAAGAAGTAAGAATAGGGTTGCCAAATATAAGAAAAAGATGAGAATTAAGATGGGACCTTGAGAGAGGAGTAAAGTATTGACTTCTAAAATGGGATTCAAGGAGAAAGGAGTTTCATAAAATTTTAGTCATAACTTTATGACAGTTTTCATTATTAGGAACATCCTTATGAAGTGTTTACAGGAACAATTATAAAGGACATATGGACAATAACAAAGGGGCTGGAAACAGGGGAGGGAGGTGGAGAGGGCTGGGGTGGTGGGGAAGAGTAGGGGGGAAAGGCAAAAAACTGTACTTGAACAACAATAAAAGGAAATATTTATTGAAAATAATCTTATTAGCTTAAAAATGTAGCTGATTTTCTGCTCTGATTATTAGATTAGAATACCGTGCTTCTCTTTAGGGCTTAACTCCTGCCACCAAAATCCTTTTTCAAGAGAGAAAGTATCCCTCCTGATGGTCCTGATATTTGTTGTAGTCAGTGTGTACCCTGGACAGAGCAGTGCACAA